GGGAAAATGTTGGGTTTCTTGATCACACAGAGGGGCATCGAGGTAGATCCTTCCAAAATCAAGGCCATCCTAGAAATGCCACCACCAAGGACTGAAAAGGAGGTGCGAGGCTTTCTGGGTAAAGTGCAAATCATAAGACGGTTTATCTCTAAATTATCTTTGACTTGTGAACCACTATTTGATCTCCTGAAGAAAGGAAAGAAGTTCCGATGGGATGATCGATGTTAATTCGCTTTTGAGCAGATCAAGTAGTACCTTCAGAATCCACATGTGTTGTCGCCGCCAGAGTTGGGGAAGCCTTTGATTTTGTATCTGTCAGTAACAGACACAACGATGTGATGCATGCTTGCTTAGGAATCTGATGATAGGGTGGAGAAAGCCATCTATTACCTGAGCAAGAAAATGCTGGATTATGAGACCTGTTACACCCCGCTGGAAAAAGCTTGCCTAGCCTTGCTATGGGTTACCAGGAAGTTGAGGCACTACTTGTTAGCTCACTCCGTAATTCTGGTTTTGAGATTAGATTCCCATCAAATATCTCTTTGAGAAACCAACGCTTATGGGTAGGCTAGTCTGTTGGTTGCTTCTTCTCTCTGAATTTGATTTGAGGTATGTCACTCGCAAGTCGGTCAAAAGGAAAGCAGTAGCGAAGTTCCTAGAAGATCACCCAGTGGAAGGGGATGAAGCGGTAGAATACTGGTTCCTAGATGAAGCTATTCTGCAAGTTAGGGAAGAGATTTGGACAATGTACTTTGACGGAGTGTCTAATCAATACGGTTATGAGATAAGGGTGTTGCTGATAACACTTGACAATTCCCATATACCCTTAGCCTTCAAACTCCGGTTCAAGGTATCCAATAACGATACAGAATACGAGGCATGTATCGCTGGTTTGGAAGCCACCTTGGAACCAGGGGCAAAGAGGTTGGATGTCATTGGAGACTTGAACCTAGTTGTGTCTCAAGCAAAAGGAGACTGGAAGGTCAAAGAAGAAAAGATGAAGATCTATCACCAAACCCTGGACATTCTGATTCCTAGGTTTGAGAAGCTGACGTTCACGCATCTACTAAGAGAGAACAACAGATTCGCTGACGCCTTATCAACTCTATCATCTATGATAGACATCCCGCTTAGAGTCCAGATACGTTCGATCATCATTGAGCAAAGGTATACGCTGGCCTACAAGACTATTGCCGCAATAGATGAAGCACAAGAATCAAAACCCTTGGTTCTATGATATCTGGAACTTCTTGGAAAATGAGGTTTATCCGCCAAGGGCAAATGCCAAAGATAAGAGGGCAATACGGCAGATAGACATTCAATTTATCATCTGCAGAAGTAAACTGTATAAGAGAGGTTATCTGGGAATGCATAAGTTATGTGTCGACGCAGAGGAATCAAAACGCCTGATGGACACCATCCATGGAGGAGAGTGCGGAGTGCACATGAACGGAGTAATCTTAGCCCGGAAGATTTTCAGGCAAGGTTACTACTAGTCTATTATGAAGGAGGATTGTATTGATTTTGTTCGGCGATGCCACAAATGCCAAATTCATGCCAATAGCATAAACATCCCGCCGTCGAAGATGTACAACATGACTTCACCATGGCCTTTCTCAGTCTGGGGAATCGACGTCATCGACGCAGTCACACCGAAAGGGTCGAATGGGCATCAATACATTCTGGTGGCAATTAACTACTTTACAAAGTGGGTGGAAGCTCAGTCTTATGCAATGTTAAAAGTAGCACATGTGGCTAAGTTTATCCGAAGTAATATCATTTGCCGATATGGAGTCCCAAATGAGATCATTTCAGATAATGGCTCTCACTTCAAGAAAGAAGTGATAAACTTGTTGGAGAAATACAACGTGGCTTTTCATAAGTCATCTACATACCGGCCGCAAACTAACAGAGCTATTGAGGTCGCCAATAAGAACATCAAGCATATTCTACAGAAGATGGTTGAGACTTACAGGGATTGGCCAGACAAATTGCCATTTGCACTATAGGGCTATAGAACTTCAATCCGGATATCTACTAGGGCAACTCCTTGTTCTCTTGTCTATGGGATAGAAGTTGTTCTGCCAATTGAAATAGAAGTCCCGTGGCTGCGGGTTATGGCTGAGTGTCAAATAGCAGAGGCGGATTGGCAATAGAGCAGGTTTGAAGAACTGATGTTGTTTGATGAGAGAAGGCTGAAAGCATTATACCATGTTCAGGGTTATCAACGTAGGATTGTCAGGGCTTTTAATAAGAAGGTTAAGTCTTGGAATCTCAAAGAAGGGGATTTGGTGCTAAAAAACAATCGAGCTCCCATCTATGATCCTAGAGGCAAGTTTAGACCCAATTGGACTGGTCCTTAAATCATCAAAACTATCTGGTCGAGTGGAGCTGTTATTCTCATGGACTTGGATGGCCTAGAATTTTCCCAACTGATCAACATGGACAAGTTGAAGAAATACTATCTCTGAGAAGCTCGCTAGGCCGAAAACCCGGAAGGGCGACCTAAGCAAAAATCAGAGCACAAAAAAAATTAGAAATAAAGAAAAACTGAGGTCGCAAGGTTGAAAACCCTAAAGGGCGGCCTTAGCAAAAGTTAGAGCGCAAAAGGAGAGTGTTAATACTCGAGTGAACCCAAATCAAACTACGTAAGGCCTAATTCCCATTTTCGGGATATGTAGGCAACTTCATCCTGAAGTTCGACCGCAAACACCTCCAACTCAACCGTCCTATTCATGTGTTTGATCAGGTCATCTTTGTCTATTCTTTATCTGAATGTTCGGTTGTGATCTTCTCTGAAAACTAGTTACAGTGCTGAGCAATGTTATTCGAACAAGGGGCAATTTGTGATCTTTGGATTCAGGGTTGTACATCTCGAGGGCTGATTCCGTGTGTGTCAAGTGGTGATCCTTATCGAAAATGATTTTGAAAAGTTTTAATAAAAGTTGATTTTTGTTCAAATTTTACCTTTTATAACTTAGACCATTTTTGGACCAAAAGGAAAATTTTAGTGCTCACAACTTTAATTTCATTGATTTCAATACAAAGGTCTCTAACTCTAGATACAAATCAAAGTTGCTTTTATTACATTCATAAAACTTGAAAAGTAAGATCAAAGCAATAAACTAGGGGCATAGATAAGTCAGATGTTCCTGCATCCCCCGCTTATGCTTGTGGAAGTTTCCGATGCCAAAGTGGGCCCAATTTGTGCCTTATCTTCGAGCCAAGTTAGACATTCGCCAGAAAGGGCATAGTTAAAACTAGAGGTAGCAGTCAGAAGCTCTCTCATCTTCCAAGCAGTGAGGTACCTAGCCAAATGTGAACCTCGGGCGGGGAATGAAACCAGGTACTCTACCCCCTCCTCTGGGCAAGTCTAATTATGTCCAAACTGACGCCTGAACCAGAATGGAAAGTAAAATACACAGTGTGTCAGGCCAATCAGCTCAATGCCAGGTTGCCCAGTCATGCTGTAGCTCATTTCGGTCAGATTAAGCCAGGGGCAATGCTAAACAATGTCAGCAGCAGACCTATTGTACATCCAGTGGCACCATCATCTTTCATTCAGGGAATCTACTAGCTGTTGGTGGAAAAAGTATGCCCGAGTTGAGTATGCAGGGCAAGAGTCTACTACCTTCATCTTATCCATTAGCCACACCTAGAGAGGTATTAAAAAAAAAAAAAGATTAAAGAATAGAGAGATGTATGTTGAGAGAAAAGTAAGAAAATGGCTTTGAGAGAAAAACGGAGCATGAATGCTGTGAGAAACACATATTAGAAAGGGTGGGAAACATTACCTGAAGAAGTAGTGGACTCCCAGCGAATTTATTTGTCTCTCGTCGATGAAAGGCGTCTAAGCCCATCAAAGTCTTGGCCAACACTAATGCAACTCTTGCCCTCTTTCAAACCTTGGGCCACTTCAATTAGCCGAATACTAGACCCGTCGAAACTAAAGGCAAGAAGGAAATGAGCCAACATGCACAAACAAAGGGCGTGTTGCCGAAAACCCTGCTAAAGAATATTACCTCGGTCACCGACCTCAGAAAATTGATGAATTAGGCTGGAAATATCCAGCTCTCCATTGTGAACCAAAGATCGAACCTCATGTAGAGTGAGCCCGCACATCCGTCCCAAAGCTTGGATGTGGTCGAAACGGGGCTGACGTATGATTTCCTCATCGCGTCAGGATTCCATTAGCACTTGAAATTCTTCGATTGTCGGGCATATTTCTTGTCCCCCGAAGTTAAAGATGTATGTAATCGGGTTCTAACATCTAGCCGCGATGTGAAGGAATAGAAAACAAAGCGGAGAACGACTCAACGGGAATAGAGCATTTTATGCCGAAACCCCAGAAATTTACCTTTTTCCAGCCATCCAAAGTCGCAATCCAATTCGAAAGTTTTTCGGCAAAAAATGGCTCCATTTGTGAAGAATTTGCAGTTGAAATGAAGAACCTACGAGGCTCAACCTTTTGCAGAAGATAAGGCAGTGAGTGGAAGCCAGCTATCAACAACCTGGAGGTCCTGTACATTGATGACCGGCAGGTGGCCGGCAAGCTGCATTGATGATCGGCAAGCCACCCCTCATGGCCGGCATGTGGCCTGCAACCTTTGTTTATGGCCGGTAGTCTCTCACTTTGACCTGTTGTCCCTCTTTGTGTTGAACAATGCTGAAAGCAAGTGTTTTTTTATGCTTTTAGTCTATTTTAAGGTCTTGTTCTCAGTCCTTTCGGCTTTATCAAGTTTGTTATTTTGTATTTCATTTGTTGTTGCGTTGTTTTGCTTATCGAGTTGTATGTTGTTCTGTTTATCGAGTTGTCGTCGTTTTGTTTATCAAGTTGTTATTGTGTTGATTATCAAGTTGTATATTGCTTTTTATTTCAGCTGTTGGTCAGTTCATTACCCAATTAAGAATGTTGTGCCTATACATCATTTCCATGCTAAGTGGTGCTTATGACGCAAAATACAACACTTTTTCATAAAAACTAGTTTTCATTCCGATCATGGTTGTTTTTACAAAAGTGCAGCACAAGTTTTTAAAGAAAATAAAGCCTATCTGAAGCTGTACAATGTGCTAAAACTATAAACAAAAAGAAACTAAGCAGAAATAATAAAAAAAATCAGCGCTGGTCGCCTTAGGTTCAAAAAGCCCTCTTCGTCCTCTTCCTTAGAGAAGAGGACTGTGGGGCACTGTCTCCGTCGGTGCCATTATCTGAACCTGAATCGGAACCCAAGCCGGTGTCATCATCGCTCTCCACCGTAGAGCTTGCCTTGGTATCGCCTCCACTCTCGAAACCTGAGCTGACGTCATCACCTCCACTCTTAGATGACTCTGAATGCTGACTCACTGCCTCTTCAGAGTTGCTTGTCTCAGCATTATCATCACTTAGAATGGGCTTTGAAGGGCCGCTCTTAGCTTGGGTGCCCCTAGCTCTACCACGACCGCGTGCCAGAATCTGTCTCTCTCTTCTCCCTGCTACTGGAAGAGGTACTACTGGTGTGGGCGCTGCAGCTGCCGCTGGTGCCATCGGTATGGGTGAAATATGAAAAAGACAGTTGTTGCATATCAGTTATAGCACATGTATCAAATGCAAGCATAGGATGCAGAATGAGTATATGCAGAAGTCAGATACAATGTGTGAATACAGTATGCAAGTGCAATGTGTCAGATGCGGTCTATTGACGCAATGTATCAGTGCAGTTTAGGAATTTTTCAGTTAAAATGTCAGCATTAGTGTGTCAACGGAAATTTGATGCCTAGAATGTAAAACTGAAGAAATTACCTGAATACCGTAGAGGCTGAGCAGCGCCTCTCTCCTTTGTACCATCCCCATCAATGAGGTTATCAGCTCGAGGGTGCCTCCTGTGTATTCAATCGGTGCCTGAAAATGTATTTGAATGATTAGTATCTGCAAATGAACATATCTAAAATAAAACATGGAGTGCAAGTGCCAAAGTGTGGTTCATACCAAAGTCGGGCCTCGCATCTCGACAAGCTCATGACCAGCCGCTACAGGCTCGATCGGGACCTGGTAAGCATCCCCGATGTGTCTCTAGCAAGTTAGCGTTGTGGGAAGCTTTGGCCAATCAGCCCTCTGCCCCGCTCGAGAAGCCCCTCTGCCATAGGCCCTGCTTGCCAGGGACACTCTGCGCCTTGCTCTCGTGGCAGGAGCTCTTGCCTCCTCAGCTTCACGAATACCAATCGAGGGCGGCATCAAGTGTGTCTGGATGAAAGCTGCATAGTCGGCCTCCGCTTGGAAGAAGTCGACGTTAAGGCCCACTATGAACTGGATGACCTCCTCAACAGATAGGCTCTCTGTGGACCGCATGGACTCTGGTAGAGCCATCAGGACAATCGGGTCGAGCAGGCCCATAATTTAGCGCACGAAGCGCTCACCCAAGAACCAAGCCTGGCAGACCGGGCCCTCAAGCAGAATGCAGTAGCGGGAGATGGCCTAGGCGCCGGCAAATTGGTCTCGGACCCCCTTGCATCAAGGCCCATGGCTGCTACGTGATCTGTAAACAGGAGTTGTACAAATTATTAGTTGCTATCAGTTGCTAAACGAACAATTTCAAAGAAAAAATGACTGTGTTTCAGAGTACCTCATGGGCCGCTACCATGTCGAAGTACTGCCTGAAGAATGTGAAAGGCTCACGGGTCCTATGGCAAAGTTGACCGTCATATATCTACGAATAGGGAACTATCAGTGGAAGCTCCTTTACAGGCTTCGGGGCGAGAGTCGGAAAGTATGCGTATAGCCGTAGCTATAGGGAAAGTGTAGTGGTAAGTGATCAGAACAGTGTTTGAATAGATACAGAAAGTGCAAAACAGAAAGCACAGTATATGAACAGTGTTTGAGTAGATACAGAAATACGAAGCAGAAAGCATGTGTTGAAATAGATGTAAAGCAGAAGCTGTAAAGAAACTATAAGGTACTAAAAAAAGAGAACTGAGATGTGTACCTCCCAGGCTCGCCAGTAGCCTCCAATCAAGTCTCCCCACAGACGGGAGGTAGAGCTCATATATCCGTACAGTGTGGTGAAGCCAGCTCCACCCCAGTCGTAGAAACGAACTCGAGGAAGGTTCACCAGGACACTCAGCAAATGTAGGCCTACGATGTTCCACCTGTTCGAAAACAAGGTGGTACCGAAGATGAACATCAGGAAGCCCCTGGCGTACTGCTCGATCTCCTTTATCGTCTCAGACTTGGTCTCTCTGAATCGCTCAGCAAACCAAGTGTATTTGACCATCCCCATCCGGTATATGGTTGGGTATGTCCCCAGCAGCTTGAACCAAGCCGTCTCTCACTTCTCTATATCCGTATCAAGAGGGATCGGATCGCCTCCTACGTCTAAGCCGGTGATCATGGCAAAGTCCTAAGGAGTCATTGTCATCTTCCCTGCGGTAGAAAAGTGGAATGAGTTGGTGGTATCCCACCACCTCTCTACCAGTGCTCCTAAGAGGGGACGGCTCGCGGTGACCCAAGTCAAGCTAGAGCAGAAGAGGCCGAAGCTCGCCTCGTCAATGATGTCACGGACTCCAGCTGGGAGCTCATCATACCAGTCTCGAGCAGTTGTAACAGCGTAACCCCTGAAGGCACGAGACTCGCCCTGTAGCAGAAGACAAATGCAATCAGATATAAGACAGTGCATCAAATGCAATCAGATATAAGACAGTGCATCAAATGCAATCAGATATAAGGCAGTGCATCAAATGCAATCAGATATAAGGCAGTGCATGAAATGCAGTCAAATATAAGGCAGTGTAGGAATTACAAATAATGAAAGGCAGAAATACATGAAAATAGAGGTCCTACCTCAACGGTAATGGCCGGCAAGTGAGAATCCAGCTCTCTCAGCAAAAGGTCATCCGGTGCACCGCGGGCGAACTCAGTGAAGTGTCTGATGCCTCCGAAAGTGGGCAATATGTATGTCTGTGGGTGATATCTCACCGAATCGAAAGGCCGTACCCTTAGTGGTAGTGGCTCTGGCTTGGCCTCAAGCTCGAACTCCGCCTCCAAGTCGGCCTCAAGGTCAGCTATCGGTTCTTTTACCTCCGGCACAGGTAAAACTATTGGGGAAACCTCCGGAGGAGCCCCATCGTGAGGAATCTCGTCCGCCATTTGAAAATGGGTGTGAAGTGGGTGAAAAGTGAAGAAAAATGAAGAAAAATGGTAAACTTGGAAAAAGTCAAACCCTATGAGAGAGAAAATGGAGGAAAAAGTCAAAGTCAGGAAAAGTGCACAAAACTCAAGAGAAACTCGAGGGGAATGAGCCTAAAATGGTAGAAGTGAGGAAGGAAGCACCGAAATCAAGTTTCAATCGGTTCAAAGTGAAAGAAATAAAGAGATTTTAGAGAATCAACTTCGCGTGGGGTGTTGAAAAACGTGAAGAAAGAGCAAATCTAGAGAGAATGAATGTCTAGAGAGAGAGTGAGGAGGATTTCGGACTTGAGGGTGTGAGGAAATGAGCCCTAGTGGCTCATTTTTAAAGACCCAAACCGAAAACTCAAGTTTGCCCTCGATCTGCCATCGATGGCCGACAAGGCTCATCGATGGCTGGCAAGGCACATTAGTAGCTGACACTTGGCTGGCGACCTTCCCTTGTGGCCAGCAGCTTCCTTTGGGTTCTTGATGATGTTTTGACTATTTGGTTTTCAAGAATTGAAGGTGTAGTTCATTGTTGAGTTTAGAATGTCTCTACGAAAGCTCAAAACTATGTTTTCGGTGCGCGATGATCGTCACTTGTCAACATGAACGAGGTGTATTCTTTAAATACATTGTAATTTTTCTGAGAGGTGAATCGAAAGTTTCTATTGAATTTGTTTTTGTCAAATCATGCTTTGGTATCTTGCATAGAACATGTATTTCTTATTCATTGTTGCATGGAACATGCATTTCACTTTGTGGCATAGAATATGCATTTCACATATGTTGTTGTAAGATGTGCATCTCACGGGAATTGCTTGCGCGTCTTGCATTTGCTCTTGAATCATGCATGGAATCTACATCCCCTTTTACGTATAGAATATGCTTCTGTTTCGAATTATGTATAGAATATGCTTATGCTTGTTTAGAACATGCCATTAACATTCTATCTCGACTGTTTATATTGCATAGAACATGCATTCCTACTGTATCGCACTTGTTAAGTCTCTTTCTTACACATGCACGATATTGTATGTACGGTTCATTCAGAGGAGTTCCAGGTTAAATCATTCGTGCCCTTTGAATTGCATCATTTTACCTCTTCCTCTTCTCGCGTAAGACGCGTTAGGATTGCTTCGGTTAAAAACATTCGGGTGTGTCTAGGCAGAAATACATGAAAATAGAGGTCCTACCTCAACGGCAATAGTCGGCAAGTGAGAATCCGGCTCTCTCAGCAAAAGGTCATCCGGTGCACCGCGGGTGAACTCAGTGAAGCGTCTGATGCCTCCGAAAGTGGGCAATATGTATGTCTATGGGTGATATCTCACCGAATCAAAAGGCCGTACCCTTAGTGGTAGTGGCTCTGGCTTGGCCTCAAGCTCGAACTCCCCCTCCAAGTCGGCCCCAAGGTCAACTATCGGTTCCTTTACCTCCGGCACAGGTAGAACTATTGGGGAAACCTCCGGAGGAGCCCCATCGTGAGGAATCTCGTCCGTCATCTGAAAATGGGTGTGAAGTGGGTGAAAAGTGAAGAAAAATGAAGAAAAATGGTAAACTTGGAAAAAGTCAAACCCTAGGAGAGAGAAAATGGAGGAAAAAGTCAAAGCCAGGAAAAGTGCACAAAACTCAAGAGAAACTCAAGGGGAATGAGCCTAGAATGGTAGAAGTGAGGAAGGAAGCACCGAAATCAAGTTTCAATCGGTTCAAAGTGAAGGAAATAAAGAGATTTTAGAGAATCAACTTCGCGTGGGGTGTTGAAAAACGTGAAGAAAGAGAAAATCTAGAGAGAATGAATGTCTAGAGAGAGAGTGAGGAGGATTTTGGACTTGAGGGTGTGAGGAAATGAGCCCTAGTGGCTCATTTTTAAAGACCCAAACCGAAAAGTCAAGTTTGCCCTCGATCTGCCATCGATGGCCGACAAGGCTCATCGATGGCTGGCAAGGCACATTAGTAGCCGACACCTGGCCGACGGCCTTCCCTTGTGGCCAGCAGCTTCCTTTGGGTTCTTGATGATGTTTTGAATATTTGGTTTTCAAGAATTGAAGGTGTAGTTCATTGTTGAGTTTAGAATGTCTCTACGGAAGCTCAAAACTGTGTTTTTGGTGCGCGATGATCGTCACTTGTCAACATGAACGAGGTGTATTCTTTAAATACATTGTAATTTTTTTGAGAGGTGAATTGAAAGTTTCTATTGAATTTGTTTTCGTCAAATCATGCTTTGGTATCTTGCATAGAACATGTATTTCTTATTCATTGTTGCGTGGAACATGCATTTCACTTTGTGGCATAGAATATGCATTTCACATATGTTGTTGTAAGATGTGCATCTCACGGGAATTGCTTGCGCGTCTTGCATTTGCTCTTGAATCATGCATGGAATCTACATCCGCTTTTACGTATAGAATATGCTTCTATTTCGAATTATGCATAGAATATGCTTATGCTTGTTTAGAACATGCCATTAACATTCTATCTCGATTGTTTATATTGCATAGAACATGCATTCCTACTGTATCGCATTTGTTAAGTCTCTTTCTTACACATGCACGATATTGTATGTACGGTTCATTCAGAGGAGTTCCAGGTTAAATCATTCGTGCCCTTTAAATAGCATCATTTTACCTCTTCCTCTTCTCGCATGAGACACGTTAGGATTGCTTCGGTTAAAAACATTCGGGTGTGTCCCGGTGTTCACACCACCTCTTCCTCCTCTTGCATGAGACGCGTTAGGATTGCTTCAGTTAAAAACATTCGGGTGCGTCCCGGTGTTCACACCACCGCTTCGGTTAAAAACATTCAGGCGCGTCCCGGTGTTCACACCACTCCTTCGGTTAAAACATTAGGGCGCGTCCCGGTGTTCACACTACCCCTTTGGTTAAAAACATTCGGGTGCATCCCGGTGTTCACATCACCCCTCTCGATTAAAAACATTCGGGTGCGTCCCGGTGTTCACAGCACCCCCTTTCGGTTAAAAACATTCGGGTGCATCCCGGTGTTCACCTCACCACCCTTCAGTTAAAAACATTTGGGTGTGTCCCGGTGTTCACACTACTAAACACCCCTCTCGGTTAAAAACATTCGGGTGCGTCCCGGTGTTCACATCACCCCTCTCAGTTAAAAACATTCGGGTGTGTCCCAGTGTTCACACCACCCCTCTTGGCTAAAAACATTCAGGTGCATCCCGTTGTTCACACCACTTTTCGGTTAAAAACATTCGGGTACGTCCCGGTATTCACACCACATCTTCTCCTCTCGCGTGAGACGCATTAGGATTGTTTGCATCGGTTAAAAACATTCGGGTGTGTCCCAGTGTTCACACCATCATTTTTCTTCTTCCGCGTGCAACGCGTTAGAACCTCGGTTGAGACCTCGGGTGTGCCCGAACGTCGCCCTTCGCCTTTCCTACGGGTCGCGTAGGTAAGCTTTAATTTTCTTACATCCTTTCTGCTTGAAATGTAGTTTGGGTTTATGTTTCTCACGCATGGCACATGGTTTTCTTTTCGTGATTGGAATTGTTGTGCCTTGTTTCAGTTTGTTTAACTGTGGCATTTTCTTTGCATAGCATTTGCATTTAAATGTTTCATTGCATAGCCTCATTGTATGATCATAAGTTATGTTCTTACATCTTGCATATCATTTACATTTTGCCCCAGAATTACGCTGGTTTGATTCCTTGCAAAGGGATACGTAGGCAGCCTGTGGGCGCAACCATTTTTCTTTCAGTTTTGATTATTTGTCTAAGTCTTACGGCCTTGTCAAAATGGGTCATCTCTGGGTTTTGAGATTCACTCACGTCATTTCATGACTCCGAGTTCTGTTAAAGAGGGGCAACTATAGACACCTCATTTTTTACGTCCTTTCAAGACTTAGATGTTCTTGCAGGTACTTAGATGTTCTTGCAGGTACATCCGATGACAAGTTTGTTTGCTCGCAGAGCGCTCGAAGGCTTCAGCGGAACACCACAACTTTGAGCCTTTCAAACCCTGCATCCATGTTGTCTCATTTTTGGACCATGCCTTGGTCTTTCCATCCTGCAATCACTAGTGGTCTGCCGACCATCCTTGAAGGCTGTCAGCCATCACTTAATGTCTGCCAACCATTGATGTGCCTTGCCGGCCATCACTGATGGTCGGCCAGCCACCAGTGTTTTCTATAGATATTTTATGTCAGCTGTACCAGCTGTTTGCACAAATGCTTGCATCTGTCGACACGTAGAGGGCTGGATCTCCTTATATAGATTTCATGTTTTCTATATATAGGGATCCCTTCTCTCATGTTTTGAGGTTAGAAAATTTTAGACTCAAAATTTTCCTCTCTCTACAATTCTCTCTATCTCTCTCTCTCTCTCTACAAGTTTCCTACACTTTTGCCTATACACCTTTAACCAAATCCCCTAATCTCTAAGTTGAGGTGTTCTTAGGCTTGGTTTGAGCTCTAGAAGATGGTATTTGCTTGGTTTGTTGCCTAGAATTACTCTTTCCTTCAAGAGGTATAACACTTGTCTTGTATACTTTGTTTTGCATACTCATTTTGCTATATTTTTTCACTATTTTTGGGTTGCTTTTGAACTGTAAAAAAACCTGTTTTGGTGGACTATAAGTGATGGTTTGAGACCATTTTAAGTTAGGGGGTGCTTCACCCTTCTTTTCTTTTATTTGAAAGGCTTTTGCACTTTTGTTTTCCACTTTCAAACTAACTTTTTTTGGGCTTTTAACCACTGGATTTCAGAGTATTTTTAGTGGCAAAAAACATGTTTTGAAGTCCAAAATTGGAGGGGTTAGCCTCTCCTCCTTGTGTCTTGTTTACTAGCTTAGTTAGTTCTATATGTTAGCATGATTTTCTAGCTTTTTGTACCTATATTCCAGCATGTTTTTGCCTTTGTTTTAGTTTGTTTTAGCTCTGTTTTGGGTTGTTTGAGTTGATTGCATGTTTTGGTGTTGTTTTGCACTTCATTTTAGTACCTAAAGTTCTACAACCTCCTTCATTTCTTGACTTTTTTTAATTTTTTTTTTAGGGTTGTTTCAAACTTGGGAATCTTTAAGCTTCAGATTGAGGTCCATGCTTAATGGTTTAATCCTCTTTTGGGGGTTCATTACCAATGGCATGAAACTTCTCTCACGCCTTAAACTACCCCTTGTTTGACGCTTCCTTCCCTTTAGAGGACTTTAACTCACCGTTTGGACTTGATTGGATTAAAGAATGGTTGGTAAAGTTAAAATGAATAATTAAAACTTGGAACTAAAAGTGAGCCAAGATAAGAATTTGGTTGTGTTTTTTATGTGTTCAATCGGACGTTAATTGAACACGTGGAACTTGGACCATTTCATACTTGTTTAGTGATGAAATGATCCAAGTCTCCAAGGTCAACTTCTTTCTTTGATCTTTCATGAAAGGGAGGAGGTTTGTGTTTCATTTTGCATTTATTGAATTTGCACCTCTTGAATCACAAGCCATCATGCAATGAAATTGCTTAAGTTGGTGGTTTGTGACTTAAGTTCATCATCCCTTGGATTTGCTCATAAAAATGAGGGGTGAGTTGTGCAAACTATCTATGGGAATACCCTCGTTTTGCTCTATTTGTTCTCTGTTGTAGCAAGTTGAACCAGTGCATCAGTGGCCGGTAGATGGCCGGCAGGCCATTTCCATGGCTAGCATGTGGCCGGCAGTCTTTACCAGTGGTCGGCTAGCCACTAATGCAAACCTTAGCAGAATGTTGGTAAGGTGGAGCAAAATGGTTCTGAAAGTGTGCAACTCTGCAAACAAGGCTTTCGAGAGCAAAACGGAGATCTTTTCGGGTGATATCCGAGCATGCGCATCTTTTATTTCCTGAGGCGGAGTAGTGGCAGCATGGTTAGAAAATTTAATTACTTAGTTTGCTTACATTTGTGTTGTAAATTAGTTAGCTTACTAGTTAGTTCATTCAAGTGTTGTAATAATTAGTTAATTAGTTTAGCTATTTATTTCACTTGGTTTGTAATAATTAGCTTAATTAGCTTAGCCCTAATTAGTTGGTAGTTAATTTTTCTTTATTCTTTCGGACTCTCCTTCGTAAGAGCAAAATGTAATAATGTGTATGTCTTCCAACCCCACGTCTTTCTCCTTTTTATTTAATCGCTTTTGATGGTTAGATTAGGGACATGTTTCAATTAGCATACCTTATGCTTGCATACATTCATCTTGTCTTGCATGCACCGAGACTCGGCGCATCATTCAAACTGCATTGTCATTTCAATAATTCTTTGAATACGTGTTTAACCGCATGTTATGAAATTGCTTCATATGTCATATTAGTAATCGAGCCTATTAAATTGCATTCTTTGCATGCGTTGTGTTAGACATCTTGTATAGATAGGAATCATGCATATTTTTCTAACTCATATATTCTTAGCTTGGAGTACTAGGTGAGTTTTTAGTGCTTTAGCATACTTGCATGAGTGTGAGTGATTGTCATGACTAGCATGCTTGCCATGAGGCTAAATGCTTATTCAATAAAACTATT